CATATGGATCTAGCACATCACGAATATATCGGTAAGCTGTCATTGCTCCGCCGCCAACAATGACTATATCAGTACGAGCTTCCATGCTTATGCCGCCCCAAACCATTACCGATCCTCCTTCATAACTGAGTCTTGTGGAAAAATTTGCTTGGTCAAACCTTTCGCCTTTTTTTCGGTATATTCGTTAAACAAAACCTTGACTCGTCAGAAAATAAAATCTTACTCCATTCATCGATATTCCAATGTTAATGCTCCCTGGCAAATCGAAGACGTGCTGTTCTGTGATTCCTAAGTAACTCTGGACCAGTTGCAGGTCTTCTGGAGCGTAATCCATGTTCTCGTAATCGCCTTCGAATCGTTATTTCGTTAACAGCTAGTTGACGTACTTCTTCTAAACGGTTTCGAGCCATGACAGCAGTAGTATTTCTTTCTCGCAAAACATTTAATGTCATAAAACGATCATCTCGAACATTTGTAGAACGTCGTCTGCCAGATTCTCTTCGTCTCGAAAAATTACCAGTTTCATTAAAACCTTGTACAACTCTCTGGACGCTACACCTTGTAACACCCAATATTCTAGAAGTATAATACTGAGTCCTACCGTCTTGTACCAGAGCAACTGCTCATGTTGCATCAGTAAGCGTTAAAACCATGATATTATGCTGATAATGAATAATAATTAAACTGCAATTGCCAAGTAACGAATATTTGACAGTTGTCATATTGTGAGTTGGCCACAGCACTCTACTTATTTTGTAGTTTATTCTGTACCGTCATTTAAATTATGACCGTTTCTAAAATGTAGCATTTTCTTTAAACCGTCACATTTCACAAAAAATTAAGATATCGGGGTAAATAAAAAAAAAGTGTTGGTAACAAATCAGTCTTCTTGATAAAGTTAATTGTATGCAGATCTACTAGCAGAATTAACCTACAGGGTGTGTCAAAAGTAGAGGAAAAAATTGTTTTCTTCCCCCCCCCCCCCCGTATATCCGGCGAGTACTAAATTACTTTTAGATGTCCGAATAATAATCTTAAAACTACAGTATTTTATCTAAAAGTTGCTAAAAACTTCAAATAAATAAGCCTTTAAAAGTTAGAGCATTTTTATATAAATCATTATTTTGAATGGATCAAATTTTAGGTCGGTGGATGTATTTTACTAAAAACATTTTTAACTTCAAATTATTACTTTCGAGTTACACAAAAAAAGTACATTTCTGAATTAGTTAAGTTCGTTTCCATATTTAAAGATACCAGAAAAAACTAAAATTAGTCATGTTATTGTACAATGATTTTACTGCTAAAATATAACGTTTAAATTTTTATTTTTGAGCATTTTGGAGATAAAAAATGAAACTAAAGGGGTTTTTAAGTAACTTCAATACGTTATAATGAGGATAATTTAATTCCAACTGAATTTTTAAAAGCTATATATTATGTTGGTACTTTTATATATCTGTGCCTATCAGTACCTACCAAAAGCAATGCTTTGAATCAATTTTGCCTAGAGTCTAGCAATTATGATGTTGGTACGGCATGCAGTGATTAATTAAAAAGTAATGATTATATTTGGTCATAAATATGGACTTGTAAGTACATTTTATTGTAGTGTACACGCATAACATGTAACTTTTAAAAATATGCTTGGTTTAAAAATAATATAAAAACAGTTAGTTAATTTTAGTAATAAAATCATCTAGTAAAAATTAAAAGCATATAATTATTTTTTTTGTGCTTTTTCCAAATATGGATACAAATTTAACGACTTGTAGTGTGTTCTTATAAGGAGAAGACAAATTTTTAAATTTTTTTGAAAAGATGGAACTGCATTTTGTTTCTTATTAATACGTTAATAGATTATGGTAAGTTGTAGAGAATACATGTGCCAAATTTCAATAACATGTAAGGGTGGTTAGTAAGTTATGAAACAAAAAAGAAATTGGCAAAGTTAATAAAACTACCTGTATCTCGGTTATAAATGACGAAAGAATCATTAAATAAGGTTATTTGGAATATCAGTAGCATAAAAAAACTAAGTATTAAAAAAAAAGAGTGAAGTAAAACTTCGTAGATTAATTCACTCTAAAATAAAAAAGACAAATAAAATCCGCGTACATCAATATTTATCGCTACTTGAACATACTATTAAGGTTATAACTCTAAACAGCAAGGCACCGACGATGCACGAAAGACGATCGTTTGCAGTCGAAATTGGAGTTAAAGTGGAGGACTAGGCTGTTAAGGTGTCAGGAAATCTAAATTTGTCGTTTTTATAAGTTAGCTCATCATATTTTTTATGTTAGGTCGAACCGTAAGAAGTGCTAATTATTTATTTTAATCTATGTTATAATTTATTTAATTTTTTTTATTAACTTTGATTTAAATTGATTTAAATTGATTTAAATTGATTTAAATTGATTTAAATTGATTTAAATTGATTTAAATTGATTTAAATTGATTTAAATTGATTTAAATTGATTTAAATTGATTTAAATTGATTTAAATTGATTTAAATTGATTTAAATTGATTTAAATTGATTTAAATTGATTTAAATTGATTTAAATTGATTTAAATTGATTTAAATTGATTTAAATTGATTTAAATTGATTTAAATTGATTTAAATTGATTTAAATTGATTTAAATTGATTTAAATTGATTTAAATTGATTTAAATTGATTTAAATTGATTTAAATTGATTTAAATTGATTTAAATTGATTTAAATTGATTTAAATTGATTTAAATTGATTTAAATTGATTTAAATTGATTTAAATTGATTTAAATTGATTTAAATTGATTTAAATTGATTTAAATTGATTTAAATTGATTTAAATTGATTTAAATTGATTTAAATTGATTTAAATTGATTTAAATTGATTTAAATTGATTTAAATTGATTTAAATTGATTTAAATTGATTTAAATTGAATACGAACGTGAATAAAAAAAAGTCATGTTAAAGGATGGGAAATTTTTTTACCCTCATATTACTTTGGATGAAGTCTATTTTTTATATTTCAATTATTTTTTTTTAAGTATTGGTCAAATATTTCATTTTTTTTCTGGATATACATTGATGCCTCCCCACAGAATTTGTCTCTTACTTTCAAGGCCAGTGAAACTTTTTTAATACTATAGATGGCTAAAAGTCAGTTCTTATGTTTGTAGCATTATAGTGAGACGTATTATAAAACCACGCCATCCTTGCTAATTTTCTGACTCTTGCAAGTGTAGCACCATATTGATGTCTCGCCGTCTCAAAAAGGACAAGCAGTGAGGCATCCGTTAAATGCCACACCGTACTCAACATGTTAAATTTATTTAAATTTATTTTAATTTATTTTAATTTATTTTAATTTATTTTAATTTATTTTAATTTATTTTAATTTATTTTAATTTATTTTAATTTATTTTAATTTATTTTAATTTATTTTAATTTATTTTAATTTATTTTAATTTATTTTAATTTATTTTAATTTATTTTAATTTATTTTAATTTATTTTAATTTATTTTAATTTATTTTAATTTATTTTAAATTATTTTAATTTATTTTAATTTATTTTAATTTATTTTAATTTATTTTAATTTATTTTAATTTATTTTAATTTATTTTAATTTATTTTAATTTATTTTAATTTATTTTAATTTATTTTAATTTATTTTAATTTATTTTAATTTATTTTAATTTATTTTAATTTATTTTAATTTATTTTAATTTATTTTAATTTATTTTAATTTATTTTAATTTATTTTAATTTATTTTAATTTATTTTAATTTATTTTAATTTATTTTAATTTATTTTAATTTATTTTAATTTATTTTAATTTATTTTAATTTATTTTAATTTATTTTAATTTAATTTATTTTAATTTATTTTAATTTATTTTAATTTATTTTAATTTATTTTAATTTATTTTAATTTATTTTAATTTATTTTAATTTATTTTAATTTATTTTAATTTATTTTAATTTATTTTAATTTATTTTAATTTATTTTAATTTATTTTAATTTATTTTAATTTATTTTAATTTATTTTAATTTATTTTAATTTATTTTAATTTATTTTAATTTATTTTAATTTATTTTAATTTATTTTAATTTATTTTAATTTATTTTAATTTATTTTAATTTATTTTAATTTATTTTAATTTATTTTAATTTATTTTAATTTATTTTAATTTATTTTAATTTATTTTATTTTAATTTAATTTCGTGTGATTTCTTTTAATATAAATTATTCATCGTTCTCTCACCCATTGTTGATACACCTTGTATCAATATAGATGCATATAATATATATTTATTAAATATTCACCGAGAGTGAATGCATTTAAAAAACTTGTTGGCTCTGTGCGAAACCCAACAAAAATTTTTGGCAGTTAATGTGTTAACATAAAATAGATCTTAAAATGAAAATCCAAATATATCTAAAATACATTTTTTGGATGTCACATAACCTAGTGTGTAAAGTTCTAATATACTCTATGGTGGATGTCAGATAGTCGGGTGAGTAAGTTTTAATATACTGAATGTTGGATGTCAGACAGTCGAGTGAGTAAATTCTAATATACTTAATGGTGGATGTTATACAGTCGAGGGACTGAAATATTTAATATACAAAATATACAAAACCAACTGACGCGAGCGCCACCTTCGCATCTATACACTGGAACTAAATATATACATAAAATTGAAAATTAAGCATTATGACATCCAGCTGAAATTTTTTTGGCGCTCTTTTAAACCTACTTTATGATGTTTGAACCCCAAAAACGTTGTGACATCCGAATTTGGATGTCACATCGCAAACGGATGTCATAAAGATACCAACATTTTTGCGACATGATGTCACAACGTCGGCAGGACGAATCTATATATATATATATATATATATATATATATATATATATATATATATATATATATATATATATATATATATAGAAAAACACATCTGTAAAGAATAAGTTTCCATTAAAATAATTCAATAAAAATGAATGAAATATCGCTCAACTTTATTAAACATTCATTATAAATAAAGTTTTACATGTGGGTAAATTTAAAGGTGCTTTGAGAATTAGATCGTTTTAAATCTTGAGTCAATCCTACATGACACTACTCAGCTGCTATTCTCAAAAATTAAAATAACAGTTATAGATTTTGCTTTACATTTATTTCAATTGAGTCTCTATGTTACAAACAAATATTTCACAGCCTTGTTAGTTTATAACATCCTGGTATTCCTCACATATACCAAATAATTTTAGTCTACTAAATAATTTTAAGAACAGTTTTGTTCTTACTTAATATTATTCTCATCAATATCTTCCACAATGAAATCATCCTCAGTATTTTCATAATGAGTACTTTTTAGTTCATAACCTTGTTCTTTAATATCAACAAAATCAAGATCATCTTCTTTGCTTATTTTGACTTCTTTCATTCTTAAAACTTGCCGTTGTTGTAAAAATTTGTTAAAAGCCTCCCTTTGTAGTTTTGCATTACCAAGTACTAGAGGATCTGTGTTAGAATATTGATTTAACTTAAAATTAGCCCATTGTTCATCTTTTGTTATATTTGTGTTATATCTGGTCTTTGTACCAGCTTGTTTTATTCTGTTCATTATTGCCTCATGATCTAAATCAAAAACACAATGAGTCATTGGAGATAATTGAATCGATTGTGATTCCTCGATTTCCCACGGATTTTGTTCTTCCAATTTGGCTAGTTTTTCCTTAAGATTTTTTTCAATAGGAAGAACAAGTTCAAATTCTGACATTAAATGGGCTGCTGGATCAATATTGCTTGGCCCTTCTTCTCCGTAATCTGCTATAGAAAGCCTTTTGTCCAATTCAGCAAGAATTATAAAAGTTTTGTCTTTTACAAATTTAATTAAAGGAACTTGTCCCATCAGTCTTAGAGCTGAAAGTTCATGTCTCAATAAACCAGCACATTTGTGTAATTTTTCCTCAACCACTTCTAGATTTGTGGTTGTAGCAGTCCAGTACACTTTTAAAATTTTATAGTCATGAGTTATTTTCACTTTATTTATTTCTACTCCCAATCCCACTATCAAAGCAGCACATTCTCCAGAAGACATTACATCTGTAACATTTCTCATGAACAGCTTATTTAAAACTACAGCTCTTCTTGGATTTATACATGTGTTTCCGAGAGGTACTTTTGAAAAAGTATTTGCTGGACTTGCAACAGCTTCCTGAAAATACATTCTTTTTTTCTTTAAATTATTCCCCAAGACTTTTTTCATTGTTTTCACAACTTGTCCGTGCCCGTTAACAGAACATGAAGTATGGACACCAATATTATATTTTAAAAATGACGTTATAATAAGTATTTTTCTCGAATTGATATGCGAACTTTTAAATGAGAACATTTTGATTCTTTTAATTTTAATAATTTTTGACATAAAACATAACCTCCATAAGCAATAACATCAACTTCTTTTGCTGCGTTTGAGAATCCACATCGGATGCATTTTTTACATCTCGAGCGTTTTTTTATCCACATCGGACACATCTGTCCCATTACATTTACGTATACTGAATCACGTGATCAAAGATTTTTTACATCTCAGATGCATCCGATGTGGATTCTCAAACGCAGCATTTTTATTTCTGGTTCTGATCGATTCGGATATTCAGCTCGCCTATTTTTTGGGTCCGTGGCCCGTATTTATAAACAAAACTCAGCTGAATCGGACTTGGGTAAGTCGTCCTTGAACTAAAATCGAAGTTCGGTTACAACCACAAATTACAACGCCTCTATCTAAAGTTCCAGGGGGGCTATTTTCAAACTCGAGAGAATTCATTTCCATCAAGAGAAATGTCATACGTCAACGTAAAACCGTATTTTTAGGGCTCTTAGGGCCAGTGTGAACTCACTGACTGTTTCTCTCGGTTTATTTAGAGATAATTAAAATTCTCCTAAGAATTTTAATCCTCGATGTCTTTAAATACAGCGTTTCCACATTGACGTATGACATTTCTGATGAGAATCTTGAGAGAAATGAGTGCTCACATACTTTGAAAATAGGTCCCCTGGTGGTTCCGGTGATACCATAGGGTGATACACTGGAATTTAGAGATGGGTATTAGCAAATCTGTAACTTTTTAAAAACAAGTCCGACTCAGGTACGTTCTGTTTATAAATACGGACCCTAAGCCCAAAAGCACTTTCGGAGTCAAAAATGTTAAAAGAACTCCAAGAGCCGAACTCTAATGCTGAAAAAGATTTATGTCAAATGTCAAACGTCAAACATTGTTAGACATTTGTTAATCAAAAATTCCACTTTTTGCACGTTGAAGCCCCGGCTTTGATTGTTGGCAAAAATAAAGATTATATATCTGTGTGTGTCCACTTTTTTAGGATTCTAGTTTATTGCTAACTGAAATAAATACAAGAAGTTCAGAAAGAAAATGGAAAATTCAAGCAAAGGCCATGTTCTCAGTCAAGAGATTACTGAGCATCTAAGATGCTCTTACTGTAAACTGTACTTGTCTTATCCACCAGTTCTCATGACTACCCAGGACGAAGTAAAGTTTAAATGTGCTAGATGCAATATAAAAACTCGATTTGGCTTTCGCGATGCAATGTATGAAAACTTAGCCAGGCACATGAAGTTTCCATGCATTTTCAAAGATTGCAAGGAAATTCTTTGTTGGGACGACGTTCGTGAACATGAAAGTGTTTGCAATTATCGTAGTATCTATTGCCTTGCTTCTGATTGCCAAGAAACAATTTTAGAGGCTGATTTTGCTGCACATTTCAAAGAGAAACATAAAAAATATTATCATTCAGGATCAATATCCATAGAAAATCTACGTTCTAACTATGGTTTTTGTGTGTTAGAAAAGGACAACGTTTGCTATGTATTTTTCTATGACATTGATATGGATAAATATAGAATGTGTCTCTGCTACATAGGTCCTAAGGTAGAAAAACAGTTTGAAATGACATTTCATGCGAAAGATAAATCTGTTATTCTAACTGAGCAGAACTTGGTACAGTTTCAAGACAGGGTACATTGCTACAGATGTTTAAAAGGAGATTGTAAGTGTGTATTCCATTATTATAGTGGCTACAAGAGGGGTCTTTTAAATTATACCCATACAAAAATGGATAAAGATTTTCTGAAACGTACATTAGGCAACGATATAGGTTGTATTATAAATGTAGTTGATGAAAAAGTACAAACTGACGAGGAATTGGAGGATATACTATTAGGTAGTAAAGATGTAGTCATTGATGAAGTTAATGAAGATGACGAAGGTGAGAAACCCATTGAGCCAATGAAAACTGATGCCATTAAAGATTTATTAAAATGCCCTGGATGTCAACAGCCTTTGAAAGAAACTATTTTTCAATGTTTACATGGACATGCTTTTTGCAAGGAATGCAAGGAAAAATCAGAAAAGTGTGAAACTTGTGAGGCAAAATTAGATAACACAAGAAACTATTTGGTAGAAGAAGTTGTTTCAAACTTAAAGTTATATGAAGATGTGAAGAAAGAAGATTTTGAAGACAAGGAGATTGTTTGTCCAATGTCAAAATGCAAGGAGACATTTAAGTTGTCTGGTACAAGTAACCATTTCAAAGAAAGTCATATCCAGAATTTCCACTTTAATAAGGTATCTAATAGTTTTTTTAATTTTTTTCTAGATATGCCTGAATTTGACCAGGGTTAAAAAAACCATATGAATTTAAAAACTATTTTTTTATGTTTTTTAAGCTTTTGTCAGTTTTTAATTCAACATGGCTCAGTGGTAAAGTCTGTCTGAGGATCCAAGGGTCCCAGGTTCGAATCCCACCATTGGCCGGGATTTATTTAATTTAATTATTTAAAATTAATTCTGATACCTTTGTAGGATTCCCCACTAGACCATTCACTGTTGGGTTTTAATTAACAGTGCTGTTCCTAAAGTGGCGCAAGGAATCAGTGGCCTGTCTGTAGGGGTGTAGGAGTATTAGAGTACTAACACTCCTGCACTGTAGAGTATTAGACTACTAGTACAATCCATAACCTACATAGAACACGAGGCTAATAACCTTAGTTGTTGAAGCCAAAGACACCAATAAAAAAAAATTCAACATATCAAAAATTAGTAATAAATTCAAACAAAAAATACAATTAGAACTTAAAAATATATTAAAAAATTACATTCTGCAAAAAAGGTTTTTTTTTTTTATTGTTTCCATCACTAATATCAATATTAATAAGTTCATCAATGGTAATCTTTAATAAAGTATTTGTTTTTAAAGAAATCTACATCAGTGTACGCCTATTCAATCATCTCCCTCTCTCAATTAAAAACAGTGACTTATAGCTTATTTAAAATCAAACTGAAACAGTACCTAATTGAAAAATGTCCATATAGCGTTGAAGAATTTTTCATGTAATTAATGTTTTCAATGTCCCACTACACTTTTTTTTATTTCAATTTAACATAAGTATTCTTAGCTGACTTTATATACCTTATTTTTATGGGTTTTAATTTGTATTTTTCTTGTATTTATTGTTATTATACATTGTGATATTTCTTTCCTATATCTTGTAAATGATCTTTCAGGATAAATAAACTATCTATCTATATACCAATTTTTTGCATCCTTTCTGCTGACAGTTGATTAATAAAATTGTGGTGATTTCTAAATATTTATCTCAAAAAAAACCTAAAATTGTAGAATTTTCATTTAAATGCTTGAAAAATCTAGGTACAAAAAGACCTGTACCTGCCAACCCTGAACTTGATCAGTAAATTTTCTTTAGTTAACCAAGAATGTAACAAGCATGAAAACTGTAGGAATTCATTTAGATGAAACATTAAAGTGGATTGTCCACATCATTGTGCTAAACCAGAGGCACCAAACTTTTTTGACTCATAGACCACTTGCCTAGTGATGGGCAAATTTCCGGGAACCAAGTGCTCGGTAAATTCCCGGGAATTTCCCCAAGAATTCCCGATACATTTTTGTGAATTTTAGCTTATTTTCTATTCCATCTATTCATTACGCAAGACGCAATCAAGATAAAAATTAAATTAAAATATCAATTTTTTATTAAAAACAACACATTTTCTTTGGCAACAAATTAAAAATATATTTTCTTTCTAAAACAACACAAATAAAAAATTAAATCTAAATATCCTTTTTTGTTAAAAAAAAAATTTTTTTCTTTGGTAACAAATTTAAAAAATATATCCTTCAACTAAAAAAAAAAAAAAAAAATCCGTGTGGCACTCGGGGACTGCCGCAGTAAAGCTATTGTATAGCATTTTTTATCAACTTATGCAATTTAATTATTTATTTATTGTATTTATGCAGTATTTTTTTTTCTTTGATATTAATTCAGGTTTTTTCTTTGATATTAATTCAAGTTACACTTTTTGTGCGTGGTGACCGATAAGAAAACATTTTTTTTCTTTTATTGAATAAATGAGAAGTTAATATTGTTTAAAATATTTTTATTGTCTTGCAATACTTGTAGGTTATTCAGGAATTTTTATCATTGAAACTATAGGTTTATGGTAACTGAAATAAGAAACATAAGTTTGAGACTTGATATCCTCTAAATATCTGGAAAATACCGCGTCAGTGGTGGTCTTATATTTTGTTGTGGATTCTTGTGGATCATTATTCATTTTCAAATTTAATTTTTCCGAAATTGTGTCTAAAAGAGATATAATCAGTTATGAGCAGTTAGCAGCTAGTCTACACGCATACGTCTAGTCGCACGCACACAAACACCATGCCGAAGTCTGCCGAACTGAAACGACGTTAGACGATGCACGGCTTTCAACGCCGCACCGCTGTGCCGGTCGGAGTGGAGGCTGTTTGGTTTATTTTCGTTCTTGATTCGGTCGCCGCGCTCAAAGCCCGCTATGCAATAGCTTAATAATGAAATAGTTAACACTGATAAAATAAAAATTAATATTTTATAAATCTCAAAAAAAAATTAATATCTAATATTTACGCCAGCCGGGAACATTTGTGATACCAATTTATTAGAAGCCAGAGAAAGCTCTTCTAGTTCTTGTATTGCATAAATACTAATACGAATAGGGTAGTATAAAACCTTCCACGAACACCGCACCGCTGTGGCGGTCGGAGTGTGGGGTGTTAGGTTTATTTTCGTTACGGAATCAAGAAATTTCTTGATTCGGTCGCCGCACTCACAGCCCGCGATTAAAGCTTTGCAATAGCTTAAAAACAAATAAAATATCTGCCTAGTAGAACATAAAACTGTTGAGTATTATGAAAGTATGTAAAAACAAAACTAAACATCAGTTCCTGAGCTATTAACCTCATCGGTCACGTCTTTCTCATCAGAATCAGAGTCCTGATAAGGAATTTCTTCGTCCTCCGAAGAAGTTTTTGTCTCCGTCTCTGGCTCAAAATTTATTGGTGATTTTGAAAGGCCTGAAGGTCCAGGTATCTCTGCTTCCGGCACTATCATGTTAGAATGCTGAACATGTTCAGTTACTTGAGTCAAACCGGAGATAGACGGACACTCGTTTTTGTCAAGTGGTACATCCTGTACAGCTGTCTTTGCTTTGTTACGTTAATTATATTGCACGCGGAGTTGTTAGCTTGTTCCTTTTCTTTGTGTGAACTGCAGAAAATGTGGAAAAGTTCGCTCAGTCGAAGCTGAAGTAGCAGGAACAGAAATAATTTTTACTGCCACTTTTGATAGCTGATTGTTCTGTCCAATGATTCCCTTCCACCAAACGACAGGTGATACATTCTGTGAAGCAGTCCAAATGAAATCTTTCGCCCACATACCTTCGTGCGCTCTATAATTGGCAATTTCAACAAGCAACTGTTCATAATCAATTATTGGAGAAATGGTATCATCAGAGAAATGTGAACTTCTTGCAAAGCTAACTATGTGTTCAATGACATCGAGTTGTTCTTCAACACTTAAGTAGCAACCTTGCGCCTTTGGATCTAATAGACAAGATGCTTTATGGATAGATGTAAGCGCATAAGCTTTTCTTTACAAATATTTATCCATACAATTTTTTCCTCATTTTTCTGTAATACTGAGAACGGTAAGTTTTTCGCTAAGCTTGAATTTCACTGAATGCTTTGAAACATAGATGTATTGTATCTTCGTTGCTTTCTAACTTTAAAATCCAGTTTACTACTGGCTCCACAAGAGCTTTGGTACTTTCTATATGAACCCAGAAAATTTCGTCATCCAAAAGCGTTTGTTTTTTATCGCGTCCCAATATATTACCAGCCTCTTCATGCACAGCCAAAGTTTGCAAACTTTCTTTACAAACAGCCATCGATTGTAAGCAAAACAAGTGGGAACCTCAACGGGTAGTAACTGGTAAAACCCAATTCTTGGTGCAGTTTTTTGCTTTTCTAATTCCATCAAAAATACTATTTAACACTTGGGAGTGTTTTATACATTTAATTATATCTTTCACTTTATTTATGAAGGAAATCATCGCTGGAAATTTTAATAAGTCCATAATAATCAGGTGCAAAGTATGTGCCAAACAGCCAATGCTTTAAATATGTGGAAACATCTCGCTAATAGAAGCTGTAGCCTTTTTCATATTAGCTGCGTTATCAGTACATTCACAGTTTCTGTAGCAATATATTCTGAAGTATAGCGATGTTCTTTTGTCTCCAAACTGTTGATTAAAACGTTTTTTGCTCTGCTGTTGTTACAACAAAATTAATTATGCCTTCTGATCTTATATTCGACCATCCATCTAACTGCAAAGCTAAATGGCCAGATTCAGCAATAGCCATTTCTACATCACTCTTGACTTCTTCATAATGAGAATCCAATAATGTAGTTGACAATGTTTTTCTTGTTGGAAGAGCGAGAGCATAAGAGGGGCGTAAGAAATGTAAAAAATCTTTCCAAAATTGATGCTCTACCATGGAGAGAGGGCTTCCTGATGCAAATATTGCTTTTGCTAGTAGGTTGTTAGCTTGGCCTACAAAGAAAAATATGTTGTGTCGTCTTAATTAAAAATATTTTTCTCAGACGTCAATACATTAATTAGTCCCATTCCATACTATAAAGCATAAAGTAAAAAAATCTTGATAATACTTATTTTCAGTGCCATAATTATTAAAATAAAGATCCCCTTGACTATTTGTCTTAATGTTGATTTTTAAAAATGAAGATATACTATACAACACAAAACAACTACAACCAAACGATTATTATAGTACAATAACTTTACCTTTTCAGAAGCACTCATATGATCCAAAAAATGTTGAAATGTCTCTTGACCTTGACCGACTTGACTTAGATGATGTAATGGATGTTGCAACGGTGGGTGTGGTTGTACATGTAATATTCGAAACATCTGATGTTGAAGTAGGGGTTGATCTAATCGGACTGACATGGACAACACTAGCAGTTTTGGCACTATCAGATTTATTAAACCCCTTCTTTAAACCGCTCTTAATTTCACTCGGGCATTTACTACATTTATTTAAAATGTGCTTAGTAATTTTTGTTATATTTTTCACTGTATACAACAAATTGCATTTAAAACTCGTTTTAGTTCATTTAAGTAACGGAGTAAAGTTGTCCAGAACTCTTTAACAATTTCTTTCGATTGTTCATTTTGGTTTAGAGACAATAATGCACAACTAACACCTATAATTTTTATAATACCAACTGACCTGAGTCAGCAGTCAGCCAGACGCGACTACAAGTCCTGACATGTCTAAAAGTATAAACAAAGAGTAACAGTCAACAGTGTTGTCAGATTTAAAAAACTGCATCTAATATTACGTAATTGTATGAAATCTGCTATTTCTAGAAAAATTCCCGTTTTTTTTCGGGAATTAGGTTTTGGGGAAATTCCTGGGAATTTTCCCGTTCCCAATCCCCGGGGAAATTTCCCGGCTACCCATCACTACCATGATTTTCGGTTTTGAATAGACCCCTGCTCAGCGAATATTGCTTTTTTGAAATTTAATCAACTTCAAACATGTTTTGAAAATTGTGAATTTATTTATCATAAAAATCGCAAATTGAAATCCAAAAAGTCAGAGAAGTATCTGAAATAAGTGGCTGAATAATTTGAAAATTCGGAAACAAATCTCAAAGATACCACTATGAATTATTAAAACCACCCCCGAACCACAAAAGTGAAAACAAATACTTGATTTGAAAAAAGCCTGTCGCAGCCGGGAATCTAAGCCAGATATCCATGTATGCTAGACAAGTGCCCTTCCGTCTAGACCATCACGACATTGAATGTCGAGATTCTTAGACTGAAATTTGATGTGCTAATTCGGGCCAGATGGCGTTCAAGCTCGTTCTCAAATCTTCAAATACGTCTATACTGCATCAGTGTATATGAGAAATGCATTTAAGCACTAAGCCCAAATCTTCGTCTGCATTGGTTAAGTTTTCAATGTGCGTTAAGAGACTTAAACCTGAGTGTTAAAAAGTATGTGAACAATTTAACTAAATTCAACATTGCACGCTTAAAATAAGACCGTGGTTTATGTCCATTGTCTGCACAACTCCTAATAAATAAAGTTTGAATGTTTTGTTTTTAAAATCAACTTACCATTATTTTCAAAATATGTTACCGGGTTGTCTGTTACTCAAAATAAATTAAACATACAAACTAGGACACTGATATAATAGATTACCATACCAGTAAAAAACTAAAATTTGATTAAAAATATGTACTTTCTTTCGGCACTCCCAAACAAAATTACATTTGTAATTGTGCCGGGCTATTATACCATGGTCTTTCTTGGTTATTACTACCAAACGTTTCGGCTGCAACTGCGGCAGCCATCTTTAGTGGCGTGAACGAAGTACTCTTAATAATAATTTCTATATTAAATAAATTATTACACTACATTTGCACCAAGAAGGCGAAGATTAGCTGAAGCTACTCTTTAACCCTTAACCTTCTTGGTTTACAATAGAAAGGAATATGAAGAAAAATAAATAAATGAAAACAAGTAGTATCAACTGAAACTGAATCCTTCTTCGCTCCGAGAGTGGTGTTAGGCGGTTTTATTTTTACTCCTTTTAATGATGTGTGCCAGATCGTAGGTAATGTTTTTTTCTTCCTTTCTATTTAAGTTATTTTGATGTTTGTGTATTTCTATTTGTCTACCCTTCTCGGTAAGAAACTAGACCACAAAGTATACAGAAAAAAGACACACACTGATCGATACCTACAATATGGATCCAACCATCATCTAAAACGGAAGCGCACGGTTATCAATACCTTAGCATTAAGGATATGTGAACCAAGTCATATAAACGATGAAATGAAACACCTAACAACAGTGTTACAAGCAAACGGATACAGCAAAAAAGAAATAATATGTGCTGCGTGCCCATGGGATAATAAGAACAAGTCTAGTGAAGAACAAAACCATGGTTCGGAGGATATATATCATGATATTTATACCTTGATATATATCCGATATATTCGATAATTTTATTTATTAAATTAAAAATGTTTTCCACTATTCTGAATATCCGAAAATGTCTCAACACGCCCCTGTATAAAAGTATAATAACTAGCGATTTATATGCGTTTCTGTTAAAATATTAATGTTAATAAAATAATGTTAAAATCTGTTTATTTTATTATTTTTGTTTTTCTTTTTAATTTGAGTTAGAATAAACGGTTTTGTTGTTTAGAATATAGGTTTTTGTTAATATGTTTGTGTTAAAATTTAAAATATAGTTTGTGCAAGAAAAAATACTGTTTTTTAATCAAATAATTAAACTTTAAAAATGATATATATCATGTGATATTATATTTTCGAACCCTGAACAAAACCAAGGAACTGTATCTACTGTACACAGAAGGTGTCACTAACCTAATTGGGAAAATCCTAAAGGAAAAGAAAATCAGCAGTCTACAAGCCAAGAAAGAAAATAAGGAAATATCTCAAAACAGCGGAAGACCGCAGAGATGCCCTCACATCAGCAGGAGTCTATACATAAAAGTATATATAGGACAAACAAAGAGAAGCATTGGTAAACGAATAATAGAACACAAACGAAGTTGTCGTTTAAGACGTTTGTTCTTAATATTACTATTCATTGATGAATTAAACAAGACAGTCTTCTTACTACTTCCTACGCTGTCTTTGCGAATGTCTGAAACAAGACTGGATAAGCGCTTCTATTTCGCGTACGCGCATAGGTAGAATGTATATCACTTCTCCGGAAGAACAATGACACAAGTGCAAATTTTTACTTTTTGAGTCGATTATGGTATAATTCCAGAGAAAATTACATTTCTCCGGTGGAAGAACGGAAACTAGAATTAATTTGCTTTTTCTAAGTCCCCTCAATTATTTCCGAAGCTATTCCTTGGTGTCTCAGTTGTAAGTTTCATATTACATTTTTTTTATTTGCGATTTTTGCGAAATCATTAATTTTCATTTGCGTCATTGTTCTTCCGGAGAAGCGAATACAAGTTTCTACCAGTTCAAAGTTTATTTCGACCACAGAGCGAATATCCTACTAACATACAAATTTTATGAGATATATTAAATTCGTTACTAATATTATAAAATTGCGAAAATAAGTTTGTTTACAAAATCTACAACAGTACAATTTAGTACTAATCGTCGTCGGTCTGTTTGTTATGTTTTTAGCCAAAATTAAGTAACTAATTATTTTTGTGTGAGTTATTCCATTAATGGAAAGTCAAAATTGAAATCGCTACCTGCTTAAATGACATCGACTATCGTGGACCCCTGTTTATATCTCACAGACACCCCAATTCTTTTTTTTGCTCTTTTGGACCCCTTGTAGGTCACCGTCGATCGTTGTGATCGAAATAGGCCACTTTGGGTATCATCATGCTAAACTATATATTTCATTGATTGTATATTTTTTAAATATGAGTCTAATTTGTTATAGTTTTACACATGGTTGAAATAAATCTAAGAATTACAATAAATATAAGCAGTCTTTTTTTATTTTATTAAATAGTGAAAAATAAAAACAAGGTATTTTTTTTAATTGTGACTATCACTAATATTATCAAGAAGTCAGTGGCGCATCCAGAGTTTTAAGTCTGAGGGGGTAGTGGTCAGTGGCGGCTTGTGGGGTGGTTCACAGTGACAGAATATAAGTATCAGTACAGATGTATGAAACAACTTTCAGTGTTTTAGAAAGTTTATAATATACCTTTCTAAAACACTGACAGTTTTTTACCTATATCTATACCGGGATCTATATTCTGCTACTGTGAACCCCCAAAATTTTGGTTACGAGCCGCCCCTGGTAGTGGTAATATAATTTGTCTGAGGGGGAGGGTAGTGGTAATTAGTCATTCCAAACAAATGAATTAATAGTGGGATGGTTTGGTATATCTAAGGGTTGCGACATATGATGTATTCTATCTACAATACGTAAAATCATGAATAATGGATTACATTTAAATACTTTATGTCGACCACAAAAAAAATATTTTAAAAGAGCGTTTATTCATTTTTTCATAAATTAAAATGCTTGACGACTACTATTTCAAATAAAAATAGCGTAGTGGTAATATTTAAAACTTTATTTTTGATAATAATACATTTTAGTACCTATATAAAATTAGGTTTAAATGTCGAAATCCCCATTGTATAAATTTTTTTATGATTTCCCTATAAATTATCTCTAAATGATTTTCTTTTGTTTTTTGTAAAATCACCTTCACTTGATGTTTCATCTTTGTTGACCTTTTTTTACTACTTCAGGGCTTTATTTTTTGGAGATAAGTTGGGGTGACAATTTTTAAGTGTTATTTCATTTAGAGATAGGTCGAGAAAACAGCAAATTTTTAGGGTTTTTCGAAAAAAATGTGAAAGCAGAAGTATCGCAAATGAACGTCTTATACAATTTTGAAATCGTGCTTTAAACCTCTCCCCCCACCAAAAAAAAAGACCCTCAAGATAAAAAATCTACTATTTATGGTTTTAACGCCTGTATTTGGGACATTACTTCCTACAACAATTGCATTTTTGTAGGTATGCAGACGATGAATGGCATAGGTACATGAAAACCATTGATCAGTCAAAATTGTATTACTCCAAAATAACACGAGAGAAATTACACTCTCAAAAATAATATCTTTCCTAATGTACTATTTAAAAAGAACTACCATCCCTAACTGCATATGACAACTCTGTCAGCATTCATCCGGGTTCATGGATTTAAACAATTTAGAACCTTGATAATACGCCAGTATTCTTAAAGAAATTATATATTATTCTGTTCATTTTTCTTACAGGTAAATCTTAAAAACGTTTACGGATATTATAACGTTGATGCCTTGATGAAAGATGGTAAAACCTATCTTGTGTTTTTTGACTTTGACGATTTTTACTTCGGTATGAGCGTATGCTCAGTAGAACCTTCGGATCAGTTATATGAAGTGAAGCTAATATCAGATAGTAAGAGATATACGTTAATGGCGTCCGACCAAAAGGTTATTAGATTTAACGACAAGGAACACTGTTTTAAATGTTCAATCGGTAAGATTGCGAAATAATATTTTCTCTGTATTTATTTTCTATTGGTATGTACTTGCCAAACTTAAAATGGATTGTGAACAAACAAACTTTGAATTCACTTGATCAACTTTTCAGGCACTTGCAAAACAACTGAACATACCTTCAGAACAAAAAGAAAAGAAATTTTTCGAAGACTATCGACCCGATTTAACAGGGACTGCATCAAGAGAGCATTTAAATCTAGCCAGCTGAGCTACGAAATCAATATCAAAGAATCCAAAGAGAACAAAAACGACAAGGTGCTCAAACAACTTTTCGAATGTCCCATTTGTAAAGATTATATGATACCGCCTATTCATCAATGCGTGGCAGGACATACGCTTTGCAATGTCTGCAAGACTAAGGTAAGCTTTTTATTGAATGAAATATTGAATGGCGCCTATTTTATTATTAACTTCTTGAATTTAAAAATGGGTCAGTTTTCCCTTTTTCCGACCTTTATTCCACGCTTGTTTGTTAAACCAATCTATAATTTTGCACTGTGCCGGTTTGTTACAAATATTTTTTAATAAACAAGCTTGAAAGTACCTAAAGGCAAAAACAAAAAAAGGCGTTCAGTTGCTACAAACATCAGAAGGCCAAAAAGAATCTATGCTTGCCAAGCATTTTCTTCAGCAGTCCCATACATTAAAACCTTATTCGTAAGTTCAATGATAATAAATTGTATGGTGAAAACACACTTATTTAAATGATCAATAAAAAACATACAAATTTAGCACCAACGCCAATTTGACAGCAAAACCACAAACTATTAGGCGCAGAAATCACGTCAGTGTTGAACAATTACATTTAAGATCAAATGTCAACTCTCTCTAAAAGCAAATTTCACCATAATCTCTGCTTCACTTTCCACGGTAACAGCCTAAACGCCAAAATATGTCCTAGTCTGAACAATAATAATAGACTTGCGCTGTTGAAGTTATAAGTCTATTGTATAGGCACTATTTTCGCCAGTTGACGATACGCAAGTACATAGGCGTATCAATTTGACTGTCATTCAACTTTTTATTAAATAAAAATGAATTTTAAAAATCATATTGCACCTCATTGCCTTATATTTGAAAAAAAAATTTATTAGCGACCAATATATACTGTTTCAATTTTCGAATCTCTAGATGAGGTACTACCAATTTCTAGTGGAATAAAAAAAAACTATACATGACAGAAATTTAGAAAACGTATTCAAAATTTTTCAATATGTTTGGTTTGTTCTTATAGTCTAAGATTCCGACTTAAGAGCAAGCAATCCGAACATATCGAAAATTTATAATTCATTCTGAGCCTTTATTTTTAGTCCGATTTTTGTGAAATTTTCAGGAAATACATAACAAAACTTAGGGTGGAGAAACCTTGAATTTTTTGTAAAACTTCAAAAAATATTTATTTTGAAAATTTTTAAAAGGAATTTCAAAAAATCATTCACGCGCTATTCTAGTTTAAATCTATAAAAATTTGCTGCTTTTTGTTTTAATAAATATCTAGTAGTTTTTAAATGTGATGATTTTCCACCTTTTTATCTTAAACGTCTTTGTAGAGCGTTGCCTTATCGTTGCAGACATTTAAAGCTCTCAATATTGTCAAGACACATAATATCACGAAGTGTTCCCAGTGGCACGCATATAAATACAATTTTAAAACATTTTTGCTTTCTCGAGAGGTCCGGTTTGCTCTTAAGTCGACCTTCATCACCTCTTCTTTTTTCCTAATTGAATAAATATATTATACATTTAATCAGAGCTGGGCAGTACTCGATTAGGTAAATTATACTCAAAGTACTCGTAAGTACTTTCATCCTGAGGACTCATACTCAAAAAGTTTTGAGTACTTTATATTTTAAAGGCAGTAGGAGTTGAATTTAGTAAAATGAAACTTTAAACAAATTGAAATATTTATTCTACTTATGTTAGGTAAGTTTTTATTTAAATTTTTTGCATAATTTGTCAGTTCAGGAGGAATATTGTTACGCAGGTTTTTGGTATCTCAATTTATTTCTACTCAACAATGTACAGAAAGTAAATGAACATGGGCGATCGTGTGGATGATAACGCAATGAGTGGATCGACGATGGCCCATTATGCAATGGCCGATCGAGTATCGGAGCCTTTAGGGTATTTTTAACTGCCACTTAAGCGTGTTGAACTGTCACTAATCGAAATAAATGAACGCTTGACTAAACGAACACAACTATTGTATTATGTATGCATTTGTAGATTTTTTATAGATATGATTTGATGTAACAAAAATATTCTTTGCCAGGTGGAGAAATGCCCCTCTTGCGAAGGAAACATCGAGGAGACCAGAAATTTCATTTTGGAAGAAATTTCTGAAGTTGTGGAACTGCCGTGCAGTTTCGAGACTGAGAAATGTTCATTTAGAGGTGGGTTAAAACGGATGGCATCTCACGAATTGGCGTGTCCATTGAATTCCAAAAAATCCAGAACTGAAGATGTCCAAGCAACTAATCACGAAGAGAAAAAGGTGAGAAATGAACAGATTGATAATCATTAAGAATCTAAACTAATTTATTTTTTAACAGGCAAAAGTTGATGTCGAAGTAAAACAGGACGAAGTAGCTCAGTCTTAAGTATCGATTCCATATAGGACTAATTTAACCATGATTAAATGTTTGTATAACTTGCACAATTGTCCAGAAATAGAATTAAATAGCTTTATAATTTTACATTTATATTTTCTAAAAACCCAATGTTCAAATACAATTTCAATATAATATTGGTAAATTATTTTAATATTTCTTCGGATTTTAATTTGATTAAAGGTAATTTGGAAATTTAATAATTAAGTAGAATGTATATGTCTTATCAAGGATTACTTTTTGTATAAATATGTGCTTGAACTTTTTGTATTTTTTATTACTATTAAATCCATTATTCAAACAAAAAGTGAATCTATAAAGGGTGTTTGTAATACATGGTAAAAGTATGATAAAAATTCCTGGTCATCCGATTTCCTAGTAATTAAAAAATAGTAATTTATATCTGGCAATGCCGCTCCTTAATTTATTCGATACACTAGATAGATCTGTACTCAAAAATTTTTATTCAAATGATTTTTGTGATGTATCAATATTTTTTATAGCTATTTTATGTTCTAATACAAACAAATTGACAACCTAAAAATTGGCTTACCTTGTAATAATATATAGGAAGTATATACACTCCAGAAAACAAAATTATTTAAATGTAGAAGGCTCCAGTTCTTTTTTAATGTCCTTTCGCTTTTGATTTCTTTCAGACCATCTTTTAAAATAAGTAATATTTTTGTTTTAACTGTACCAGTAAAAAAACATTTTTTGGTAGCTTCCTGTTATTCCTTCAATTTTGGTAATATTTGCTTAGCTTTAGTGCACAAATGCTATAATTACGAGTCTGCACCGGAGATGAAAAAACTAAAAATGTTAATCTTATCAGAAAAATCACTCTGTCATACTCACACTCCTAACGTCTTTATTAGGAATATCTATATTTTCCAGACTTTGAAAAGTACTATAATAACGCAGAGAATGGTTTTTGAAACATGAAAAATGTTTCAAAAATGCAATGGTATTTATTTTCTTCTGCAATTGTAATTTTCACAATAGGTACACGTTGAAGCTACGCGGTTTAAAAATATTAAAACTAAAATATATTTTTCAAACAAATTATTTTCGTCTTTAGTAATACAATTAACTAGAGAAGTACGTTTAGCGTGCCTATTTCAAATAATTCATAATAGAATAGAATTTTTTTTTTGTCAATAAAAGTATTTTACATATACAAATACATGCTTAAAAAACTTATCAGACAGGTCCATTCAAATTACATCTAATACAACTCATTCATAAATCTGATTTTCAAATGTACCAACAATCATAGGCAAGGGGTCGTAAGGGTGAGGGCAGAGGTACGAAATGAGGGAATATGGCCACTGCTGTCAGAATGAAAACTTGGACGTATCATTAAAAAGGAAATTGACGAAAATAAATAACAAATTAATTAATTAAGTATTTTATTCGAATTATTCTATATTATATCATAAATTATAATACACAGTTTTTGCTATTAAACATTCCTTTTTTCTTCAATGCATGAAAACGTGTACTTGATGGTATTTCGAAGACTTTAAAAGTTTTCCTTTTGGGAGGTGAAAAATCTTCATTTGTCAAATCCCCGATATAACTTTGACCTTTAATAAAATTGTATCTTTGTTTATACAGGATGAGCCAACGAAAACTTTCTAGGTTTTTTTTCATATTGGTGCAAAAAAACAAAAACTGATTATAGAGAGTTATTGCAAGTTCAATTAAGGTCAGTCACTATTAGTGCCGCTCTTATTTTGACATCTGAGCCTGCGCAGATCACTTACATTCTAGAACTGACTTTAATAAAGATTGTGCCTGTCCTGCCAACATTCGTATCAGTTCGAAGTTTTTTAATATTAAATATTTAATATCATCGTAATCTAAACCTTCTAAAATGGTAATTTCTAATGCAGCTTCCAAATTAATTAAAAACAACAAAAAAGATGAACTGTAATTTAAAATTTTAAAATGAGGTTAGAAATACGTATAAGGACAAGGGCTCTAATGTCAAAATTTCAGGTTTGCAATAAGTCTTATTTTAGCATGGAATTTATTTGCCTCTAATAACGTTGTCACTATTAGTGGCTGCCGTTATAGAAATTTGCAATATCTCTCTATTTACTATCGCTTAAAAATGTTAGCGAATTATTGTGAACACAAGTGATAATTTAAGGAAATCATGTATTGTTACAAACCAAGAATAGAATTAAAACTAAATTGTTTTCGCAGGAAGTATGCCCTCCCTTAGCTTTATAACATTTTCTACAAGTTTTGGCATAGAGTCGGCAAGTTATTTATGATTTTCTGATATTTGCTGGTCTTAAACCATATCTAAAATACAGCTACATTTTTTTCTGTTGTGCAATCCATTACACAAAGTCTAGTTTTTCAACAAAGCCCACAATTTTTCGATAGTGTTTAGGTCCGGTGAGTTTCCTGACTATTCCAAACAGAAAATCATTTTGTCCTATAATTAATTCATCATAACCTTTGGCACATGACGTAGAGCTGAATCTAGATAAAAACTGATTGACCTATAAAATATTTTAAGGGTAAAACGATTTCATGACTTTAATGGCCAGAAACCTTAACGGATCTAAATCCTATGGAAAAATCTATGGGTTGTAAATGCTGGACATAGCCCACTCGTACTGAAGCTCTAGACTTATTGTACCCCTCACAGTTTCTAGCCCATCAGATTAATATTGTTGATGAATTCAAGAATATGTCTGATGGGCTCTTTCACGATTTCTTCGGTTTCCGCATATTGTACCCTGAAGTGCCCTTCCCGTTCCCATTTAAGGTTCCGGCAATGGCATAGTATGTTAATTGGAGTTTAGTCATCCTCTTCACATATTCTACATAGAGAGTTGTCATATTTCCCTATGATATTTCTAAGGCCGCAATGTCTGCTCTTTTGGACTGTAAGTCCAGGAAGTTCCAACCAGAGCCTATGTGATCTCTATATATCTGTTCCGTTAGCAACTATTTAAGCCTTTCATTGCCACGCACGCGAATTCAATTCACGTGAGGCAGGTACCATCTTGCACGCCAAGAACTTGAATTCGAGTACAACCTAATTTTTCTTTGTATTAAAATTATGTATTTAGTTGGCGTTTCAAACAGTAATATAGTGATTGGCATGTTAATATAATAAGTGTATACTACATGTGGGTAATAATGGTTGCCAGATATCATGCTCGACAAAGAGGTTTAGCGCAATCTCCAAACACGCGATGGCGCGTTCGTAGTTATAGGTACTTCTGCCGTTGGCTACTTTGTGGGGTTACAGATACAGTACGGAAATGTTCTTGTAGTTGGTATAGTTCAGTGACAAAAGAATTTTATAAAAAATTATGGACGAATTACCAAGTACATCAAAAATGGGTATTTTTTCGGAAACGGGCAACAAAAGACCTCAAAGACATGACTAAATGTTTTATTATTACAAGTTTTTCCTTCACGCCCTAAACGTAAATTTGCGTTTTCTATCTACCACCAGGCACGTGAATTCGCGTAGCGAAGCTCGATCGTTCCATTGCACTGGCGTTGATATGAAATAACACATGTGGCTTCTGGTCCAATTAAGAGTTTTCTTAGCTCCCTTTCTTGCTAGGTATGCTTTTTTGTTTTCCAACACACCCATTCAAGAGTGACCTTGTTATATTTTGCCAGGGCCTGGAGGGACTGTTTGAATTCAAATATTAATTTTGACACTTATTTCTAAAAAATTCATTTAGCATATAACTTTAGCGCAGACATTTATTGCTGTTACTTCAGCCTGGAAGACTGTTGTCAGTTACCTCAGGTTTAGAATGGTCTCCCCTGAGTTTACATCAAGGGCGGGTTTACGGGAGGGGGTACTGGGGGTAATTACCCCCTCCCATGATTATAATTTATAGAAAAACTTATAAAAACCTAGGCTGATTTTGTAGTCTGCCCTTCTAAGCCAAAAAGCGGTATCTCAAAAAAACATATTTTTTATTTTTAACGCATCAGATAGCTTGAAAAACATTAAAAAAAGACAAATTCACGTATCTCAACTTGACTTGTATTTACTAAAAGGGTTAGGTGTATGACATTAATCCTAAGCCAAATGACTGCACATCCATGTACGACACAAGAAATTCAAAAACAAAAAATAATTTAAAGTAATCCAGCAGTACCTAAATTATTTTATCGACTTGAGGGAACGCAAAAAAAAGTTTTAGAAAATACTCGCTTCAACTGAAATACCCTTTTTGGCTTAGGAGGGTAGGGTAGGTTATGTTAAATATATTTTACCGGTAATTTCATATAAAATTTTATTGATTTCTTGTTCCTCTTTTACATCGATAATAAGAAAGTTGTAGAGCATTTTAAATTTTTATTTTTATTACATTTATTACAGGGTAAAAAATTAAGTTTAAAAGGGTTTCATATAATAGAAATGAGAAATACACGTTTATTATTTTGCAGCACCTTAAATTATTTTTTTATTATAAGACAAGTGTATACAGCTTCCTTATTTGATTAGACTTTTAATACCTAGTAACAGTTTAAAAGTGTTTTTTTGTTTTAACTATTTTTAGTTCTAGGTACTGTCCTATTATCTTTCTGATTAAAACTTAATATTAATAAAATTTTATTTTAAACATGTAATCTTGGTAAATTTTACCCCTCCCATAAGAAAAAGTTAAATCCGCCCTTGGTTCACATGGTAAATCCCAGCCCATGTGCTATTTTTCATCTTCGAGCCGTCTGTATACCATATTGATTCGTATTTCCCTATTTTCCCGGCTTTTGGCCCTTTCTGGTATTTGAATATCAAAACGTTTCCTAAAGACATGAATAGATGTTTTATCGGATGGTATTCTTAACACCGGATTTTGTTTCAGTTTCTGTAATATCATTGTATGGTATTCTTTTCTCGCCGCCGCCTCCTTCTCCACTACAAGGTGTAATGGAGGCAGACCTAGAAGCTACTACGGGTGTAGTTCTAAATATCTGTTTTTATTAGACAGGCCAGTCTTGTACTTTATCTAATTTTCTGCTAGCTGTTATGCATTTAGCCTTGTGCCACCTAGGTTAGGTTGGTAAGTTATAACGGGTACTACAACCATGGTATAAAGCCAGTGCGTCATACTTGGTTTAAGTCCACATGTGTTCCCTACCATCCATATTAAAAGCCTCTATTCCTACAGCTTTTTCTACATGGCTGCAGAAGCTAAACTTGTCATCAATGTTATCCAGAGTGATTCCAAGATATTTGACTCTCTTCGCTATTTTTAGATGTCCCCACATATAAAGCTCCTTCATTCTTGAAAGTTCCTTTTTCTTGTGAATGCAACAACAGATTTTTTTCGTCGGGGAATGTTAGCGATACAATTATGAATATTTAAAAAAAAATATTTTCCAATTAAAATTCAATTTTTTCGTTCATTATTGTATTAATCAGTAATGTAAGGCCAGAAATTGGCCATCTAACTTTAAAACTCATAGATCGACTACATAACATCCAACTTTAAAACTCATAGACAGATTACATACAATGCTTAATAGGGCCCTGG